GTGTTAGAGAATATCAACCTATTCAAGGACCTCTCCTAACAGCTTAAGCTTTTAGGTTGAATGGTTCTTTGAGAAATAGAATTCTAATTTTTGTTTACATAATCATTCATTGGTTTACTTAAATGGCACTGTAGCCTCTTGGTTCTTTACATTTAGGCACAGTATTATACTTTGGTTGCATCTTTTTTTTTTTGATAAATGAGAGTAGTTTTATTAATTCAAATAACGAAAGTACAGTCAGCCTAGGAGGAGGCACGAGGTGTTACCTCCCCCAAGGACTGAACCATATACACTAAACATACACAAGCCTGAAACACAATTACAAAGTAGCCCAAAACAGATCTCCCCTTGGCACCCCTTGCTTGGCCAGAGAATCAGCCATTACATTTGCTGATCTGCTGACCCACTGAAACCTGACAGTCATATTTCTTGTCATCCATTTAACTTTCTTTAACAGATCCCTGACAGTCATATACTTTGGTTGCATCTTTGTCAAATGAAACAGTAAAATGATGACATTCAATTATTAGTTTGCACTCATTATCTTTAAACTTACATTCTTTCTGTCTATCCCATGGATCTAATGGGTTTCTTGCTAGTATATCACAGGTAGGATAATATGGCAAGTAACTCCTCATATATGGTGCACAGGAGAAATCAGCAAACAGATTAAACTTTTCATCTAACAAAAGAACTTAAACAAATACAAATCTGACTAAAACTAAATGAGTTCTTCAGTACCTTGGACTTGGACCTGCACAGGTTTACTTCCTTTAATTGGAGAAAGGCAAGTAGACCCTACATTGGCACAACAATTAATTTTTCCATCAGCATTCAGCAATTTCTCTTTGTTTTGCTGATCGACCAAGCCGGGACTGCTAATTCCACGATTTACATCATTTTGAATTTTGCTCGTAGTTCTTACTTCGTTCTTGTCTTTGTCATTGCAAGGAACTGTCTCCGGTAAATCTCCTTCCTGCGTAGCTCTCAAAGCTATATCCTTTTCTTCCAACCTTATCACTCGCAAATTCAGTTCCCCCAACTCCTTCTTCCAAACCTTAATCTCACTCTTGGACTTCCTTTTAACACGCTCTAATAACCTATTCTCCCTCTTGAGTTGGAAGTACATCTCTTCTGCATCTTCCTTTATCTTCTTGATCTCCTCTGACAAATTAGTATTTCTTTCTTCTGCATTTTTCTCTCTTTCACAGATTACCTTGTGATCTTCTTCCAAACGAGTAAACCGCTGCTTGAGCTCATCATACGAACTCTTATACTCCTTGAGTTTGTCTTCAATATCGAGTTTGCTACCCTTAAGAGTTTCATACTCTTTCTTCCTCTTCTCCAGTTCCATTGACAAAACCGTACAGTCATTTTGAGCCTTCATGTTCTTTTCTTCCAACTCTCTACACCTGGTTCGGTAAACTTCCAACTCCTTTTCTAATTCAACACAGCGTCTTTCCGTGCCCTTTACTTTCAACTCTTCTGAACTTCTCTTTACCTCGACTTGCAAACCTTTTATCTGAATTCTCATTTTTTCTTCTCTCGATGTCAATATCCTTTCCACCTTCTGGAAATCTGCCGGCTTGTAAGCCGACTGAAGGAAAGAAATTAGTTTCGAAATACTGCAGTTTTCGTTGTCCTTGGCATCGACTTCAGTAATCACGATGGGACTTCCAAGTTCAGAAACCCTAAATTCGTCCATTTCATCGAAACCAATGACGATTTTAATGAAAATGAAGAACAAAGTAGGGGGAGACAAGGTAACCCTATTCCCGCAACAAGACTGGACGAAGATGATCAGTCGCTATTACAGAGAAGTCGGAAGGGAATTAGAGAATTGTCAATTGAAGTAGACGCTCGGTCTTGGCGGGTAAAAGACAATCACTATTCTCATAACAACGCTACCTACACTATCTTATGCTTTGTTTGGTACCAACCCTACCCTCAGTATCTTAGGTAGTGTTTGCTACCATTGCTTACGAATTGGCTTGATCAAAATAAATCGGTATGCCAATTTGACGTGGACGGTGGACGCTCGGTCTTCAGCTAAAATGAGACCGGCTTCACACCGTTCAAACAACCTCTTGCAACCTTTCATCTGTTTGAACGGTCATGCTCTGACCGAAGCCGAACTTTCAGTCCAGGCAGCTTCGGTCAGGGCAAAGATTGCGCAAAAGCCACGCGTCCTCTACTTAATTTAAAATGTTTGAAGCATGCGAGGTGTTTAACTTTTGTTTAACGCCGTTAGCTTGTAAATAATGACACAAATCCATTTTTTCCAGTCCGCTCCCATGTTCTCTTCCTACGCCGAGCTGGAGTCCACCACCGGAGGTTTCTCCCCGGCTTCATTTCTTGGTAAAGGTAGCCATGGCAGTGTCTACATAGCTGTTCATGGTAAGCTCGTTGTTGCTGTTAAGAAGACAATGACGTGGGCTGGAGCCACGCTTCAAGGTGGGCTAAGCGAATCCGGTTCGCCTTGCAGACCACGAAGGCGGTCGAGACTCTGCATTCTTCGAACCCGCCGGTCATTCACAGGGACATTAAGTCGTCAAACGTGCTCGTCGACAGAAACTGGAATGCCAGGCTGGGGAATTTCGGGTTGGCCTTGAGGGGACACGTTGAGGACGTAAAGATTTACGCCTCCCGCCGGCACTTTGGGCTACCTCGACCCCGGCTACGTTTTGCCAGAGAATCTCAGTACCAAGAGCGATGTCTTCAGTTTTGGGATTCTGTTGTTGGAGATCATCAGTAGCCGAAACGCCATTGATGTGAACTACAGCCCACCCTCGGTAGTTGATTGGGCCTTGCCACTTACCAAGCAGTTTGAATTTTCTCTGTTGTTCGATCCCCGGATCGGACCGCCCGGGGACTCGTCTGTAATGAGACAATTGGCGGTTCTGGCGGCACAATGTGTCGGGTCGACGGCCGAAAAAGATGCCATCTATGGTGGAGGTGGTTGAGTGTCTACAATGTGTCGGGTCGACAGCAAGAAAGTGCCTTCGACAGTTTGGAACAATCTCAGGAAGTGGGTAAAGAAGACATTTCCAGCAATTGACCGAACGGTGTTTGATGATGGGAAAGAAGAGGCTGTCGTCAAGACCTCCAAATCTGGGAATAGAGCTTCGTCGTTGAGGAATACAAAAGTATCTAGTGTTCCGCCCTCTATGGATTCGGTGAAAGAAGCAATGGGTTCGATTGGAGTTGTTGCTGAGGAAATCGGGCAATAAGCAGTTAGTTCGGTTAGTGTTGCAAGTGAGAATTTCGGGCGAGAAGCAATTAGCTCCGTCGGTGCTGTTCCTATTGGTGACGGTGAGTATTCAGGGCGAGAAGCAGCAAATCCTTCAAATGGTGCTGTTAGTGAGGATTTTGGGCGAAAAGCAAGTACTTGGATTGCTGCTGGTGGTAGTTGCATGCAACCTAAATCAACTGGTCCAGTTGATACAAGGAAAATGGGCTCTTCTAGTTATCAGGTTGCGCTGGTCCGAAGGAAATCAAGTTTGGCTCTGAGTATGCCTCATGCCATGAGATTGTTGAACAAGTCGAGGTTGTTGCAAACCGAAGGATTAGTACGGGGTGGGGAAAGAAGGTTGGTGTTTCAGCTGGTGAAAAATCCTCAGTTTAGGGGGCTGGGTCACCTGGGTGTGTCGAGATTGGTAGTACGCGTGCAGAAAGGTTCCCAGAAGAAGATACTCGATAAGAAGCGATCGGTACAGGTCTCGATTGGAAATTTGAAGTATAGTTAATTGAAGAATGACTGCTTCATCTGTATGATATACTTCCAAACGGGCACATTGATTGGGTAATTCAGTTTCCTGTAAATTTAATCCTTTTATGTATTTGCGTGTAGGAGATCGTAAAGAGATCCATTCTCCATAAACTCAACGACGAGAAGCTTCTTCTCTTTTGCATCAACACTGAATCCCAGCATATTCACCAGACGATGGCTTCGAATTCTGGAAAGGACTTCGATCTCGTTGTCCACGGGATGATTGTTCATGTTGTTGAAGTCCCCACCTTGAAGCGTGGCTCCAGCCCACGTCATCGTCTTCTTAACAACAGCAACGGGCTTACCATCGTCAAGAACAGCTCTGTAGACACTGCCATCGTCAACAACAGCAACGAGCTTACCATCGTCTTCTTAACAACAGCAACAGCACCTTTACCAAGAAATGAAGCCGGGGAGAAACCTCCGGTGTGGCGGACTCCAGCTCGGTGTAGGAGAAGAAAACATGCGACAATCGAGCGAGAGAGAAGAGCGGGCTCGAAAAGGTGGATTTTGTTTCATTATTTACAAGCTAACGGCGTTAACCACCCCGCATGCTTCAAACATTTTAAATTAAGTGGAGGTGGCGCGTCTCCTTTTGCGCGAACTATGCCCTGACCAAAGTTTGCCTGGACTCAAGCCGAACTCATTTAATGTATTAATGTATGCCGCTGCAGTGTTCCTATGGGGTAGGGTACTATTCTACCACTAGAGTTCTTATTGGGTATCATATAGGGATTCGAATCTAATTAAATATTCGAATATTTGATTCGATTCAAATTTAATTAATTAATTATTTTAGATAATTAATAAATATTTTATTGATATAAATTATATAAATCATATAAAATATTTTATATATTATATATAAATTAAATAATCGATTGAATTCGGATATTTATCAAATCGAATTAGAATATCTGAATTCGAATTCGATTAATTATTCAATAAGAATAGGATATCTAAATTCGATCAATTATATATTTAAATTATCCGAATTTGATTCGATTATGTTCAATACCGATTTCAAAATCGAATTTTTGAATATGGTTGACACCCCTACGTCTAAGCTCCTCAGGGTACATTCTCTGACCAAAAAGGATTAGAGTAATTCCAATTCTTGTAGGCATTACATAATATGGATTATAAGTGTCTATAACATAAAACAGCATATATATACTAAAATAGAGCTTGTCATGTCAGTTCACTTTTTATTACCCAAAAAGCTCATAGAGTTGCCATTGGCATGGCAATCTCCCCTGTTTTGCCCACTAATTTAGGAAGAAAGCCCACTAAATTAGAAAGACAATTTATCACGATTCTGAATTGTGATAACACATCTCCTAATGCATCCATGTTCTTTTTCTTCCAAGTGAAACACCGGCCTCTTGTCTTCTGTAAGTTCAGTAGAGAGGACCCATCTTAAAGGTAAGGCGAGAATTTTCTTCGTTTTTCTCCTTCTATGCAGCGAAACAGGGGCTCCGCCCCGTTGTTTTTCTAACTTTTCGTATTCTCATATTATAGTTCATCCATAAACAGATTTAAAGGTAGACCAGCTGCTGTACAAAGTCCACCCGATTGTGCTCTGAAATATTTCCACAAGCAAGCAAATTTTTTCACTAAAACAGGGGCATCGGCTTTCTCCTTATAAGCAACAAAACCCGCCCCTCTGTATTGCTAAAGTATTATTTTCTTATCTTGTAGTTCAACGGTCCGATTAATTTGAAGTGCCAGCATACCTACACCCCATTGTTCTCTAAGCAATTTCGGAGTACTACACTTGGAAATCACAACTAGCATACCTCTACTGGTTTGAAAGCTCCATCTCAGATGAATCATTCATATATTCTCCAGCATACTTCCACCGCACTTTGTTAGGTGGAAATCATTCATTTCCTGGTCACCTGGAAATCACTAGGAAATGAAAATCATCATCAGGTCCATGCATCGCACTGTTTTAGACCAACTTCACTTGCCCATTTGAGCGAACATTGTAGATGTAATGCGGGTAACACTGATGATTAAAGTGGATCAGATCTTTGCTATGTCCATCTCATATCCGACCCATTTATGTTATTTACTATTTATATTATTTGTTTTGTTTTACAATTTTGTTGAAATTAAAAATTAGTTTACCATAATTACAATAAACTATTTACTTGAAATTTTTGTTTAAATAAAATGTTTATTTACCATAATTATAGTAAACTATTTAATTATAAAAACTATTTATTTATTGAAAATAATTACATTACATTTATTGAGAATAACTATTTTCAGCAATAAATTTTTCTTCAGAAAACTGTGGCATCTCTTTTGTCAGCAAATGCGCGGACCACTCAGAATTTGAAAATGAGAAATTTCTATACATAAGGTTAAGATAGACGACCACATCTGGGTTAACGGGTCGAGTCATCTCACCTACACGAAATGTTTCATTAATATCATATTGCATTGGTTAAGTTTTGACAGTCGTTAAGTCACAATGATTTTTTCAAACCTATTAAACTATTAAATCACACTGATTAGTTGTTTAGTTGTAATTAAATTAACATTGATCAACGTTAAATGGTGACAGATTTGATGTTAAGCTATGATAATTGATTAATACTGTGTCAATGTAATTATTACACATTAACTACATGAATGTAATTAAATCACATTATAATTAATTATCGCTAAAAGGTAAAATAATTAATTAGGATAATACAAATAATATGTTAATTTAATTTTATTTATTATTACCAAATTATAGTTAGATTAAATGTACTTAGACCCGGTTAATTAAATTTCTATATCAATTTAGTTTATAATATTTAATAATTTAATTAGCTATAAAATTAATTGGTTATGTTAATTTAGATAATATATTAATCTCTAACCAGTTATTAAGTGATTTAGTATCTCAGCCATTGATTTGTTAGCTTTATATTTTCATTAATTATAATTGTAGGAATGACAATTTTTCCTGTAAAATTGGGGTCCTACCCCACTCCGCCCTGAACAAGGCAAGTTTTCCCTGATCTTAAATGGGAATGGGGCAAGGAGGGGGTAGGGATGGGGAAAACATTTTTGCCCCAAATCAGGGATGGAGCGGGGACATGGTTTGCATGTAATTCCTCAGACCCGATGGTAAAGTAGTAAAATATCCCTAAATTT